GTCCTTGATATTCGCTAAATTCCGAATCGCACCAATTAAAGGTATCATTACACCCTGACTGAAGTTATTAGCAATGTTTATTGGAGTACAGTTCAATTCAATTTGCATTAAATCAGTTAGAACTTGAAAATACACTAGTAATGTCATGGCCCGCCTCTAAATGTGCATTATATTGCATCCACAACCGTTCCCAACTACCACCAAATTATGTGCAAAAATGAGTAGAAATAAGAAAAGCAATATTCATGTTTCGTTACATTTCAAGTATAATCCGGCCGATATTGTAACAAAAAAACTATCTTCAATCAAACTTAAGAATTATGAAATATGCTGGAAAGGGCCATCATAGCTGGAAAAGGAGAAAACCAACTGACTACAACAGGAATACAAGTTCGACGGAAATTTTGGACATGAAGAAGAAAGCGAAATTTTTGTCGTCACAACAAAATTGTTATAAAGAGAAATTTTAAACTTGAAGACGCTAGCTGTTTTAGTGAGTGGTCAGGAGTAGTAAAAACAAGAAAAATTCCATGGTTACAATCCTTATCAACGATAAAGGATCAACTTACAAGGGATAATTACAAATTAGCTAGAAAGATTGATTAGACAAGCGCAATCGTAAGGAATAACTGAAAAAGAAATAAGTAAATGGAATCTATATTGCAACAAAGAAAATTACTGTTCCAGAAGTCGGTTAGAAAATTCCGAATTGAATGAAGATAGTTTACATCCTATTTACCTTCCAATACACAACTCAATAACTGAGATATTTATACAACGACAATAAGAGGAACTGTACCAAGCCGAAATATGCCCATACACTATCGAAATTGCAAACAGATTTCTGGATATTCAAATGTAGAACCAAAATTAATTAAACAAATGTATGATTTGCAAGAGATGGGAATCGAAACCATTTAAACTGCCGAGTCTTCTAAAAACCGAAATCATACGTTTTCGAACATTTGTGTACGTTGGATTAGATCATGTGAGTCTTCTTTCTACTAAAACTGAGTTCGGTAATATGTTGCCCGAAGGGGTTACCCTAAATTAATCTTGAATGATAATGCTGGCCAATTTCAGTTAGTTTTCCAGAGAACTATCTCCAGACTATTACAGAATGAAATGTACAACTAACAGAATTCATAGCAAATAAAGGAATGGTATGGAAAAATACCATACGAATAGCTATGTGGGGTGGAGGATTTTATGAAATAATAATTGGAATAACCAAAAGTGCAATGAGAAAAGCCATGGGGAGGAAGTTGTTAATGAGAAAGAGAATTAATAACATTAATGATAGAAATACAAGGTATATTAAATATACGTCCACTAACTTATGTAAATTTTGAAGATAGTCATATGCCCAACTTATTTCGTTTCACTAACGCTTCGCTCAATGTTCCAGTGTTTAACGAAATGATCCGGAAGAATTTTCTTCACACAAACCAAATACGAAAGAGAACTTATCAGATATTGGACAAACACCCTCAAGACCTTAGATACATTTTGGAACATATGGGCAAATGGGTATTTGAGCAGTCTTCGAAAAAGAACCCAAACAGCACATTCCTCTCCAAAAGATGTAGTAAAAGAAGGGCTCCCAGGATAGTCAATGAACCAGAAATTCCCCGTGGTATATGGAAACTAGCCACAATAAAGGAAATTGAAAGAGAAAGGGATGGAGAAGTAAGAAGTGTCTCAGTAGAATTACCACAAGGAAAAATTCTCAACAGATCAGTGAATATGCTGCACCCACTGGAAATCAACGACGAGGGAAATTCGAATTCTCAACCAACAGTGTTTAATAAATCAATTCAAAGTATCGATAGCTCAACGAACGTGTTACAAGACTAAAAAAGACGAATAATGATTCAGTTCCTCCTATCCAAAATTTCCTAATTGACTTCCCCGTCAGAAGTGTCGCGAAATCCTAAAATATTAAAAATAAAAATATAAATGAAATAAGGATAAAAATATGTTCGAATTTTTGAACCCTTCCCAAATGATGTTTATACTGTGCATTCTTTATACATTGTTTCCAATAATGTTTATAGCTTAAATCCCTTGTTTCTAATGTTTCTATCGTAAATCCTTCATACATTCTTTCCTACTTGATATCTGAACCTTAAATTACGTCCCTCTTTCCTCGTTTATATTATGACTATAACCATTCTTCAAGCCTGACAAAGAATTTATCATCACTATTCTCAGTTCAACTATATATGTACTTAGAATCAAAACCCTGATAATGATAAAAAAAACATGGACATCTCTCATAAAGGAGTGGCGAATGGGCGTTAACGAAATACCGAAGCTAGCAACGGATATCTCACAGCGACGACAACTTCATATATTCACCGATGCTTCAAGTGTTGTATGTCAGCAGTAATAGATTTCGAACGAGCGCAACAATGAGAGAGGAAGAGTGTTACTTTTCGCTAAATCAAGACTCGCTCCAATCAAAGGCATGAATATACCACGACTAGAATTACTTGCAATGCTTACTGGGTAGGAGTTGCCAATTGTTATACAATAATTGAAATTGCAAAAATTATCAGTTGTGCTGTGGTAGAATTTAAAGTGCGCATTGCACTAGATACAAAATCGATCGGAGTTGCTATTTACACTTTTCATTCCGATACATCCCATGTAATTATGACCCGGTTGATATTGCAATCAAAGGATTCCTCCCGCAAAATTCAGACAATATGAATTATGATGAGAAGGGTCACTGTGGTTAAAGCAACCCAAAAGCGAATAGCCCTGGTGTGGATATCAAAATACAGAAGAACATGAAGAAAAAATGGAAAGGGAAGGACGGATCACTGCAAAGGTATTCATTCAAACAATCCAGGAAGTATGGTTTTTGTTTATAGATGCAAGTCGATTTAGCGAATGGTCCAAATTATTAAAACCACTATTCGACCTTTCAAATTTATTAAGCAAATGACAATAGAGAAGATAGCACGGTTACAACGAGTTGAAGTTGAAGGGAAGAGACTGTCGCGGATTTTAACATCGCGAAGCACTAAATAAATGTTAACAATGCTTAATATAGCAATCAATTGATGTCTTTTACAATTCATCGTAATGGTTTAATTGACTTTTGATCTTATACCAATTCATATACTATGAGCATCTATCATGTAATGTCTATTACAACTCATAGCAGCCATTTATCATAATGCCTAGACAAACCATTGTACTCTCTTTCGTGATATCCATTTTTAAACCTATTGTTAAAGTTACTTACTATCATTCTTTGTACAAAAATGGCTAATTATAAACATTCCCACATTTTAACACATATAATGTAAGATAACTGCTATATAAGGATCACCCTTGTTAAAACATTTAGTATATGTGTAATTATCGCAAGGACCGACGATTCCAATTTCAATTGTTCTCTATCAACGTTTTGTCCCATTACTTCTGCTAATAAAGAACTTGGATTATATTTCTGTTACCTCACGCATTTACATTTACATCCAAGACAATCTCCCTGCGATCAAACACCTCTCCCAATATTATTAATTAAACAAATCAAAACCTTCCACGATAGAGACTAACACCGGAAGATTTTAAATTTAAATTAGCGAAATGGGTGTTGAGTAGTCACGCACAATACGAAGGAATTAATGAAAAAAAAAAGAAAAAATGAAATTGCGAGGCGATCACAGAACAATATCTCAAGTCCACCAAGGTTGTTGTATACATTCGAACCGACATGCGGATACCTGCAATGAGATTCAACAACATTACCCGGACAGTGTGTACTAAAACCTTCTTAAGATTATTATTATCCATTATTTCTGGCAAGACAACTACTTCCACCACATCTTCGCGTTTCTGCAGAGATTTAGATAATCAAATGGAAATAAATGGAATTTTTTTGAAACAAGTCACTCTTAATGAATGGATAACGAACAACGATATATAGTACTTACATGAATAGTTAAGAACTAAATCTCAATCTATAACAAATTTTGTTTTTACAAAGGAGAAATGCTTATCTACAATAGAAATGGATTAGTGTCAGATCACGACAGTACGGCCATTGTCTTAACAAAGTGGGAAATGTATAACGAATACTAGTATTGTTTTATGGAACGAAAAGGAAGCAACTAAGAAATGCTTATACAGGGAAGTTGGGATTCATGCCGTAGAAATATACTCCAACAGAAAGACAGCCTAGCTTCTCAATACAGTTTCATCAATGTTCTGAAATTTTACAATTTTTAATTCGTACTTGCTTACACTCATTTACAAAAGCAGTGACATTAATTATGTTTAGAATTATATCGTACCTAATGACCATTAGATCAAAATCGACTTCAAAGGTCCCAACGCTCATGATTTCAGTCTCATGATTGTTAAACGGGGCCTCTCAATTCTTCAAAATAACAAATCCTACATAATACAATACTTCTAACACTGTATAGATAACCAGTCCTAAACACTAAGATAATAAGCTTTCTAATAACACTACACTAATTACATGATACAACTTTGCCTACAGATAACATTGTTTCTGAAACTATAAATTACACATGCAAAACTGCAACTTCGATGTCAGATCGAAAACACGCAATCCGAGAAAAACCAACTTGCAACATACTTAAGTACTAGCAGTAGCTCTTCAAAAAGATGCTGATGAATTATAAGGACTAATTTCTATTCCAAATTTTCAGCAGTCCAAAACGGTAGACTAAACTTTTTAGTAATAAGGATTCATTTGAAAATGTGGTGGAAATTTCACATTATTTATTCATACAGTTTTTATTGGTGAAAGGTCAGCAAAATACAAAATAGAAACAAAGCAATGATAATCGAAATGAGTGAAGAATTTACGAAGGTTGAAATAATAACAAAATCAATTATGCATGTGGAATACGAAGACAAAAAAAAAAATGTTAGAAGTCTAGGTTAAAAAATCTAAAACCGAATCTAGATTCAAATATGCATTAAAAAGAGAAGATCAATTATTTCTGATAAAATTAAATGATTTTCGTGCAGAATATAATTTCCGGGATTTGGCCATCTTCGACAGATGTGCCATTATTATTACCAGCGGCGTAAGTAAACTGAAAAGTTATGACTCCAGTTGAAGGGGACTGGTGAACAATACGTCGCAAACCTTTGGTGCCATAATGAGAATCAGGACCCTGAAAATTTTTATATACGATTATTTCTAATTTTTTGAAAGTAATAGAAGCCATTTTTTTTGGCTTTTACTATTTTATTTTTAAATTTTTGAAAGTAAATAAAGTAAATCATCCAGAAAAAAACGTAGGATATTTTGGGAAAGAAATTCCGATAAACACCTTACTTTTAAACGTGCAGAAGCAATATAAGTAATACAGGGGCTGATTTCTACAGGTTCTTTGAACAGCACTCGAAATGTTCCACAAGACCCATCACAGGAAAATGACGTATCATTGCTTGCCAAAATTTTCCCCGTACCACAATGAAGAATCTTAAATAGAGTGAAACAGTAAATTTACGCCTCAGATCACCGGGAATATATGAATCTAAATAGCACTGATTATTGAAAAGTAAAAAAAAAAAAAAAAACTTACCTGAATGGTCACTTGGTATTCATAAGGACCGTGAATTGAGCCATGTAAACCAAAGCCAATGACATAGATCCTTCTATCAACAGTAAACCTAGAATTGTGACAAATATTTTTATATGCAAACATTTTTTATTTAATTGCAAAGTTGGTTTAATAAATTTTAAAATAAGATGTAATTTTCTCATTTCCTCAGCTTTTATATGAAAACCTAACTACTCCTAATTTCTTTAATAAAATACAAAACAAAAAGCTGCTAAGAAACAAAAAAGTGCTACGGAAGACTGGTTTTAAACCTCAATCATATCGACTCCAGAATTTTTTTTACAGCCAAAGCTCTTTTACAAGAAGTAAAGATGAGTGACAAAGAAATTTTAAATATCTTGAAGAATAAGTGTTTCGAGTTTTCACAAATTAGAATGGAAAGATAGAAAAAACTACATAAAAAATCGTAACAGTGAAAGCTATCACGACTAACGAAAGACTCACAACTTAGATACATCTGAAATATAAATTAAACAAAATCATAACCTACTTGATACGATCTGGTGTACCGCTGTATCCCCAGCGTCCTTCAACGCGTTGGAAGCGACTAATTACTACTTCCTTACCAAACACGCAACAACGTGGAACATCCAGAAATTCAATCTGTGGCTTAGGATTCACAGTAAAATACAGAAAAAGGCTGACCAATTCACGATCAGTTAGTATACCTGTTTGAGCTGCAAAATTTTCTTAAACTTTAGGCAGAAAAGCTCTTAACGCCAAATCAAAGTTTCAAAATGAATATATTTACCAGCATGCTGTGCAAACTCGTCAATTGTCATCAGCGGAAAACGTATCATATGTAAAGCTCTGCCAAGTACTGTTCGTTGATTCTCTGCGTTGATGGTCAAGGTCCGACGGCGACACTCTTCCACAGTCCATCGAAGTACTGCGAGGAACAACGGCGCTTCACGAACTCGCAAAGTGTTTCTCTTCAAAACTACACAGAGTGTATCCAAATCAATTTCAGTAAAACCTGAAGTTTGCATTCAATATAAGTCTATAGTGAAAAGGGAAAACGTAATAGTCGCCAACAGAAAAGAATAAATAATTTACCTTCTGCATTCAAAGCTTCAGTCGTATTTCTGTCAATTATATCTAAACAGAGGCTAGCTAACTGCGGCTCATCGAACAAGCGTGCTTGAGTTAGTAACATAAAAGCGTTATCAGCACCAAGATTTCGTTTCAAAAAATCAACACAAGCGAGCTCCATGGCTGGCACTGCATACTTCTTCGCTAAAAAAAAATATGAAATAAAAGTTTCATAAATTAAAACTGTTCACTCTTAGAACAATAATGTGCCATAACGTAGTTCATTAACGTATCATTCTTCTTGCCAGTGTTGGTTATAAAGAACACCAAAAACATTGAACGAATTCCCAAGGAATGCATGCCTGTATAGAGAGTTGTCATTACAATTTCCGGTCCAAAAGAAACATCGTCCGTGTAAAGAAATTTGAGTAAAGCCAAGAAAGCCCCAGGTTCGACATCAGGCAAGTCGATGTCTTGGCTACCTTCCACACTATTCGTTTCTGCTGCTGCAAACAATCGGTCAGCGGTGCCAACAGTAAAGCATATATTGATTTCAGATTATTTAATATGAGATCATGAATGCAAATTTGTTAACGAATTTTATCCAAGATCTACCAATTGCACTGTTTGCCAGACCACCGTTAAACATTGCATCAAAAACAGCTGAACCAGTAATCAATATGAACTTATGTGCAGGAATTCTCTGAAAAACAGCGACAACTATACACAAATGTGCAAAGCTCTAGGCACATCTACACGACAAAACAACCTCTCAAAAAGCTTATGATACAGTATAACCAGAACATGCCTGCATAAGTTCGCCGTGGCCAACAACAAACCAAATATCAGCAAGAATTTCGTTGCAATATAAAAATGCAAAACGCTCCTTCAACGTGCTTTTCGACGCTTGCCAGCCCATATATGGTACTTCGCCAGCACCACTTCGATCAAAATAATTGCCTAGTTTTTATGGACCAAAGAACTCATGAATTTAGTTATTATACAATGTTCTTTCTTGGTTTTACACCGTGCATTCGTATAGAGACCTTTTATTCTAACTCCAGAAAAAAAGGAAACTGAGGCAAAATCTGACATCAGTGAACATTTACTTGTCACAGAGTCTTCGATTCTTGAAGCGTCGTTTATGGCACGTCCCACAGCGACGGCATTGTGAAGTGGATATTGGCATGAACCTACATTTGACTCGTCCAGTAATATTATGACTTTTTTAAGAGTAAAAAAATTTCGAGTGATACAACGTATAAATGCACAGACTTAGAATTACTTTAAATATTGAAATATTTAATAAATTCAGTAACTAATCGGTCATTGTTCACATCCCATTAGTTTCAAATTTATGTCAGACTCCACTTCACCTTATTTAGAAGAAATAGTCATACACAACGAAGATGAGCAGTTAACAGAACCTGTATATTAATATTTAAAATACTAACCATCTTGAACATCAACCAGACGTCTAGTCATTGAAGCACGAACAGACGATACATTGTGAACAATAGATGTTACATCAAGCAATGGTCTGGAATCGCTCTTTATAAAAAGACATGTTTCAAGAATGAAAAAAAAGTGGACATTGTATGACTGAATTTCTAAATTTCATTGAGCTTATGCAGTGAAAACGTAGCTTTTTACACACGACATTAACAGCATATAATGAAACCTATCAAATAACCCGATAACTTCTTTCGCTCCTGTTGCAACGTTACCAACTGCTTTTTTGAAAATTTTGGCACCGCTGGTGTTTGAACCATGCAGCAGTTGCTCATCCACAATGTTGTCCATTGTCTCCTATGTGTTAAATATGATGATACCTGCTTCAATATATTAAAACGAAGCAAAAAATCCAAACAGAAAACGAGTAATTTACTGAAACAAAACTCAAATTTGAAGTACCGAATGAAAAACCTGCTGCTTCATATCATCAAGTGACATGCGGATATGATTCAGCAAAGAAAGCTGTTGCAGATCAGCAACAAGCGGATAACCATTTTCAATTTCTAATGATGCACCTTCGACAGACGATTCCAACAAGTCCTAATTTTTAGGAATATTAAGTAGTAGAACTGTGACTTGTACATTATTACTTCTGATGCTTACATGAACTTATACCTTATATTGGACTTACAGCTCAACCTCCACTGCAAGTGCCAAAAAAAAAAAAAATTCAGTGTTTTGAAAAATACAACACAGCACATCGGGGACGAAACTTGGACCCTCCGAAACTGTAATTATATCTTATCAGACAACATTTTTCAACATACAAAGTCAACTTCAATATTTATTATTCTGAGCTTACTTCTACAAAATGTACGTTGTTTTGGTTCATATTTCCCAGTAGAAGAGGAGCGCTTGGAGCAGCCGATAGGTTTGAGACAGCACGAGAATTAGCTGCAGTAGTTGCATCATTCTGTTGGTGTGTACTGCCTGTTAGTACAGTGCTATTCGTAAAACAGTTATTACCAAAATGGACAGGAACACATTTAACTGACACGAGTCTTCTCAATGAAATATTTAGATAAGATGCATCCTTATTCCTGCCAATAAAACTTCTGAGACGTTAAATTTGTACAGCGGCATAAAAGTTATAACGCCGTGTACTGCAATGACATCTTATGCTGGCTGCTGATCCGATAATAAATATAAGCAATAAGCCATTACATTTTAAAAAATTCAACTTTTTTCAACTGTTAATTCAAAACTGTACCTATGCTTCTGCAATATTTACGTAGAAAGCAACACCTTAACCAACATGTAGACTTTATAACTTACACATTAATAACTAATGAGGTTAAACGGAAACAAAAATGGATGCTACCGGTATGAAGATCGCAAGAATGGTTCAAAGGCTGATGACATGAAGTAGAAGCACAAGAAGTTGTTTTATTTCGAGAATCTTGAAGGGATGTTCCTTTGTTTGTGGGTGTCGCAGTCCGACCAATTTTCCGTTTAGTCCCACTTGAGTTAAACTCTGAAGATGACATGCTGAGGCTCCACACGAATTATGTATTGGTAGTCGCCTGAAATTCAACAAATATTTCTGTCTCGAAGCTGAAACACAGAAGTGCAACCTTGGAAAAAGTTGAACGCGTCGTTTGAGCAACTCGAGAATTATAATTCCTCCGGCCACTTAATTTACGAATTTAAATACCTACCCCATCTCCTTATAAAACATCCTCACCCTCATCATTCTACATATTTCGCACCAACACAGGTTTTCGAAAATCGATCCCGGACCCAACAAGAAGATAGTATCCGGGTCGTCCTGCATCAGCATCAAAGTCTGCGAAGGGAAGGCGTAATAATAGTCCGCTAACCTTGATGCTTTGTTAAAGTGATGTGGGTATCCCTTACCTTTCATCAGAGTCATCAGAAAAAATTTATCTCATCGTAAATTTAGCTTTGTCTATCGTAAATTTAATCGCTTTAGATGTCATGCGTTAATATCATTCTGGTAAAACCTGAAAGGAAAGCTCCGGTTTGAAAGTATTTCGGTTATTCTCGTATCTTCGCATCAGTTCCTTTATAAGGGTACAAATTTGTTTCCGTAAACCTAATATGCACTATATCAGCATGTTACGGAGCCAATTTTAATCCGTTCTTACCTTTGATATTAATGTTCTTGCCCTTGGCATCTGCTAAGTTACAACCATCACATATTTGAATTATTTCTTATTAATTCGGCATTTGCATTTAAATGATATGGTGTCGTAGCAATAATATGGAAACAAGACAGAATTTTTGAATTTACTGCCTAGAAAACTCAATCAATCAAAAACTTTTTGGCTGATTGATTCCAATTTTTTAACTGATATTTGAAATGAAATAAAAGATCTGAAAATACCCTCCTTTAACAATTTGTGTGGTTATTGAATGTAATATGCATCCATTGCTTAAATGCTGGAAATGTATTGTGTAGCTTTGTGACACTACGCGTCAGAATTTGATCATTGCCGCAGTATCATGTCGTTTCATTTTATAAAGCTGCATTAGACTAGTCTCGGATGAGATTAAATTGGATGAAATGTTTCTTATTTTTTTAGTTGTGAAGATTACAGATATATACGAAGTTTCCAAATAATGTGGTCTTTGATATCGAAAATATTAATATTAAAGTTTGAGATTAACTCATCTCTAAATTTATTTATGTTCCTTGTGTAATACTTTATATTCAGTCAGTCATTTTTTCATTAACTTCACGTAAATGAAATGAAAGGCGGCAGTAAAATTTATAACAGAAACGTTTATTAGGTGTTTATTTCTTATTTGTAATCAAAAGTTTTAAAAAGACAAATTAGGGATGCTAGTCAGTAATAAACCCACTTTTTTTTCTTTCGTTCTTATTGCAAATTGGGATGATAAAGTGGGTAAGAATGTGCGTGATGATCTAGTTTTAATGTGGATGACTTTGGATATTCATATATTCGAGTCTAAGTTAGCTGTTAAGTTATAAGAATTTCAAATACGCGTTATATAAGAAACCGCGAAAAAATACGTGTAAAAATGTGTGGAATGTGTTTGTTTCAACAGTTTTACTGTCAAAAAGGTCGTCAATAATATATGCAAACAGTGCGACAAATATTCAGTAAATTTTCAACAACCATTTATGAATCAGCGACTAGTTCTTTTAGAACATGAAAGTAACGATTTTGATGAAGTGAATCAATGATTGATCATCACATCATTATAAAAAAAGAGAAATCTCGAATTAAAACAAAATCCCCCTGACTAGTGACAAAATCTAAACTAGTAATACTTTAACATACTGAAAATACATATATTAAAAGTAATCTTTTATAAATATTTCATAAACAATCAAAGATTGGTAGAAAACATTTCCTTCCAAGAATTAACGATGATTATTTTTGCACAAATAAACAGATCAACTGTCCAAACATAATCGAATAGTTGTATAAAATGATGACCTGAAAGTAAATCTCACTTTTCACTTGATTTCAGACAATAACAAAAGATCATGGCGGTATTTGTTTCAAATGCAGTTTTGAATCGTATTAGTTCTAGTATGGTCTACTGACCGGGAGGTAGCCTTGTGTTGATGAATTCATCCTTTGGTGGAACTGAAATCGTTCATTGGTTAATAAGACTCATCTCGTTGGTATATTTTCATGCGATGTAATCTACATGTATTCTCGAGCTGTTCTTGAAAGCATTTTTCTATGGAGAAGCATTAAAAAGGAAGTAAACTAATACGGGATTTTGAAATAATCGTTTGCTATTTCGCAACATGATGGAACCTTTGTGAGACCATGATTTATAAAATATATGCGTTTTCTGCAAATAACAATATGCTGTTAAAACTGAGTGGTTCGTTAGTAATATTATATGTTACGGATAACATTTAAAAACTTATTAGGTATCATATTTCAGGGCACAGCAGTTGTAAATGGAGATTTTAAAACAATTAGCATGAAAGATTACAAAGGAAAATGGCTTATCCTGTTTTTTTATCCTCTTGACTTGTTAGTTAACCTTCTGTCTATCCTCCAAAATTTCTCAGTTTTCCTTGGCGACTTCCTGGATTTCGTGAAGATTGCTATTATAGCCAGTGCACTGGTACAGTTGCATTGGTACAATGATTTATTGTATATTGATAATGATTTGTTTGTTAATTTATTAATTTTTCACCTTGGTCTTGAAATTGATGTTAGTTTCAGTACCTTCGTTTGTCCAACCGAAATTACTGCCTTTAGCGATCGATGTGCGGAGTTTCAGAAATTAAACACAGAACTGATTGCATGTTCGTGCGATTCACATTTCTCACATCTAGCATGGATTCAAACCCCACGTAGTGAAGGTGGTCTCGGTGACATGAAGGTTCCCGGTATTTATAAATTTTTACAAGTTTAAGTAATATTCCGGTTTTAATTTCAATACTCTTAAATAGGCTGGAAAGTTTCCTTGCAGATTCCAGTGCTTGCAGACTTTAATAAAGATATAGCGAATGCATTCGGTGTCCTTGATCATGAAACAGGTATCTCATATAGGTAAGATGCCATATCTTGACACTTTGTCTAGGACATTTTAGAGTTTTTTTTTTTTACAAATTCAAATGTGTTGTCTCTTAAACAAAACTGAGGATGTATCTCTTTTAGTTATTAATTCTTCTAGTTCTTTTCAGAGGTTTGTTCTTAATCGATCCAAGTGGTGAAATCCGTCATTCTCTCGTGAATGATCTTTCGGTTGGTCGTAGTGTGGATGAAGCATTTCGTACGCTAAAAGCCTTTCAGTTTGTGGAGAAACATGGTGAAGTATGTCCGGCAAACTGGTCCGATGATAAGCCAACAATTAAGCCCGGCATCAAGGAGTCCAAGGAGTATTTCAAAAAGGTCGATGGTCATACATAAAAAATCCAGTAGCACCTAAAAATGATTTATTTGGACGACGTGAAGTTCTTTTTTTTTTTTTTTGAATAACAGAGTTTTTTGTTTCTGTTTATGTTAAGGTTATAATTTAGTTGCTTTCTGTAGTTATATGTATGCGATTTACTCTAAATAATAAATATCTGAGAAAGGCTAATATCTGTTAAGTCACAGAATTCAAACACTACACGGCTGAATTAGTTTGGAGAAAGCACGTTTTTCGATGCATAATATGGTTCCTACATGAATCATGCTTGTTTTGAGTGAACTGCACTGGTATTTGGTTTAAAACCTGTGAGAATAACACATCAATTATATCACCAACTAAGGTGTAGGTAGCTTCACATAAGGATAGGAAGTTGTATTTCGAGTTTTAAAGTGGAATTGTTATCTTTTTATATGAGTTGCTCATTCAATATGGCAGACAGGGAAGTGATTGTATTCACACACAAATAATGGGAGGAAAAAGTTGTGGTAATTCCCGGGTTAAAACAGGATGTAGGAAACAAAAGAGAGGAGGGCTCTGTGTTGAAAACTGTTTGCAGGAGCGAAATTGTGGTTGTAAAGAGATGTAACAGCATGAAATGTGGTGTCCAGTTAACCAATTACGCTCGAAATCACCAGTCATTTTCGCCTTTGATGGCGCCAAATTTTAAAATATTGTAAAATACATAAGTACTTTGCTGATAACTGTGATTGAAATGTACCCAATGCATGGTGCATAAACAATGGCGGAACCAAAAACAACGAAAAGTGTCTTGCGCCGTATAAATTTTATTCGGGGGTGTCAATGCCAGCAACCCAAATGTTTTTATTCTTTAAGATCAAAGAACGTGTGTCGTCGTCGTCTAGCAACTGGTCAGATTTCTGCTGGAAAATCCAACAGTTTTCAACATCCACCAAAGACTTCCCAACATAAATCCATTTGAGAAGTCAAATTGATCTGAAGAGTCAAGAAATATACCATGTTTTGAATAACTGGTCCGAATCAAGAAATATACCCATATTTTGAACTCTTCTACAGCTGCTATCCTTTCAAGTATTTTGTAAATCATTTATAATTCTCACTCAACTCTCTGCTGTTCAGTCGGTTCTCATTAAAAACCGACCACACTCAAACTATTTAATGTATAAATTTGTATACATTTTGAAGACGGTAATGTTGTCGAGAAATTGTAAATTCTTGTTAGTTCGTTTGATTTGAAGTTTGTGTAAACAAATGTGTTGAGAAGGAGTCTGTTCTGACGACTTTATTCGCTATACGCAAGTATTAATCTATAGCAACAATATACTGATAACTTCGTAGAATTTGAAAGTCTGCGAATGTGAGGTGAACAAGAAGAAATAAACTGAGGGAAAACCTAAGATTTAAATGAATGAAATTAAATGAGCGTAAAGGATCAGCAGATTTGTAACTTGCTGGTACGAAAAAAATGAATAAAATAAAGGATTTAAATCCATATATCGTAGGCAAACTGATTTGCAACAAGTGCTAAAGAGCTATCAGATGATCTTTACTCTTATGTAATAAGAGTTGGATTTTATTATTGTCAGTTGCTCATAAGAATGATTATTAGGTTAAAAAACCTCTGCAGTATTTCGACATTGCAGGCAAATTTGGCTTAGAACAAAGATGTAAATTTTAACATATTAAACAATGCACATGCCCTTTGTTAACAGTTGAAAAATTCTATACAAGCAGGTAAGTTCAGTTACAACGGGAAGATGAGTTTGCATAAATGATTGCTTACATGAGATGCAATTTGAAACAGTTTCAATTCTTATTTCTTTTGTATAGCAAATGCAGTGAGAATTTCTTTGAAGTTTTATATTTTTTTAAAAAATGTTCATTTAAAACAAATTCTAGCGTTATGAATTAATAAAATTTTAT